TCCTCCTCCTCCTCCTTCTCTCGAGCTCGAGCTCCGGTGCCGCCGCCCCCGCCCCCTCGGCCGCGCGACGGGAGCCCGTCGGGGGCCGCCCGCGGGGGCGCGCGGAGCCTCGCCGCGCTCTCCCTCGCGGCGTCGCGCGGCCCCTGGCCCCCCGGAGAGAGCTCCCCCCCCTCCAGGGTTCGGGGGCGGAAAAGAGGGGGGTGGTGACTAGGGGGGGTGGATATCATGGCGTGGGCCATGACATCTCCCCAGATTTCATGGCGCCTCTTCTTATTTCGTTACGCCCCTGGCCCCCCCGCTGGGCCGCGCACATGCCGCCGGTCATGATTTGCACCCCCCCTCTTGGACACTCCCCTCTTGGCCGCTCCCGAAGGGTGGCCGCGCGGGAGCACTCGGGCTCAGTCGGGCACGTCCCTCTACAGGAGGAAATCCAAAAACAAATTGTATGATATTAAAACAGGGGGGGGGGGGGGGCGATGTTTCTAGTATGTGTCACTATTCTCGAGCATGTGTTGGCCATGTTGGTTTTGCGCCCAAGATCCGCCTCTAGGAGGACACGCCCGACCTGCCACTCGGGGGCAACGATAGGGGGGGATCAGGCACAGATTCCCGGTCGTTTTCGATTCGAGGTTCCAGGTCTTCGGTCGTTTTCGTCCGTCGCATCGGCCCCCAGTCGCCCACGGATTGCCGAGAGGGAGCCCATACCCCCAACCTGCACAGGAGAGTGCGGATTCACTATCGAGGGCATATCGCCGATCTATCGGCGATGTGTCGCCGATTCCAGGTCGATGCATCCCCCTCATGGCTGGTCGTGCTGTCTTCCGCTTGGCCGCATCACACGGGTGAGCCACATCGAACTGTCCCCATACGTGTGGCGGCTCGATCGTCTGAAGACGCGGGCCACTGAGTAGTTTTTCAACCCCGGGCCCGAGAGCAGTCATTCGACGTCTACAGTGACGAAGAACCACTGCGTTCGCGCCATGGATGCCGGGCGCGCGCGCAGCCCCTGCACCTCGCAGGGGCGTTGTTGGCACCGCGGGGGGCTGCTGACACGGCGGCTGCGCCCTCTCCTCGCCCTCGCTGCGCGGACCCCCCCCAGGAGGTGCCTGGCATCGCTCGGACGTGCGCATTTTTCCTTCGGCGAGGACCATCGAGGAGCATCCTTGATCGTGTGGCGGGAAACCACGCACGAAACCGAAGAAAAAGCACAGGCAATGGACGTCCGAGCGATGGCCAGGGTGGCCCGGAGCCTCGCCTCGAAGACACGGGCCTCGGCAGGCCTGGCCCAGGGCGGCCCCGAACACCCCCCGCGCGGCGCCTCCGAGGGGCCCCCGCGCCCTCCGCGGCCTCTGGCTCGAGCTTCTTCCCCCTCCAAGGGCAGCGGCAGCCCGTGCGTCGCCCCAGCTCTCCCTGCCCGTGCGCAGCACGCGCCCCCGCACAGGACATGGCGGTGGCCGCCCCGGCCTCTCCCCCGCTGGTGGAGCAGCCCCGCCCGAGGTGGCCCTGTCCTCCGCTGACCCGCGCGTGCTCCTCGCCCGCCCTGCTGCCGCTCGGGCCCCGGGCGGGCTGCAGGATCCCCCGCTCGCCGCAGATGCCGGCCTTCGGCGGGATCCGCCTGCCCGACTCGTCCCCGGCGGCGACTCCGCTGCAGCTGTGGCCGCCCACGCCAAGCCCGACCACGGCCCAGGCCAGGGCGCCGGATGCCTGCGCGCCGACGCCGATGCCCATGCCGAGCTTCGACGAGGGGTGCTTCGTCGGTGGAGGAGCGCAGGCGGGCTTCCCCCCGCTGGACGTGGCCGGCATGCAGATGGCCCAGATGGACCCCAGCCTGGCCTTCCTCGCCGCTCAGCTCGGCCACCCGGCTGACCAGCACCCGCACTACTACGAGCCCCTGGCGCCGTGGATGACTGCGGCGCCTCCGCAGCTGCAGACCAGCTTCGCCCTGCAGCTCAGCGACATGTTGGCGCCCCCGGCGCACTCGACGGCCGCCGCGCCCCACGTCTTCGGGCTGCCGACGCTGGCGGAGGACCAGTCCGCCGTGGAGACGGGCGCTCCCTCCTGGGTTGCTGCAGCTCCCGCGGCCCAGGCTCAGATGCGCGTAAGAGTGACCCCTCGCAGGAGTGACCTCGGGTGCGAGCCCCGCGGGGGCTCCCCCATCGCTGAGCGAGATGCGATGGCAGCGGCCTGCGCCAACCCTGTAGAGCCGCGCACCAAGGGTCGCGCTTGCATAGGAGGGGCCACTCCCACGCGCAGAGCCGACAGGCGCCCTCCGTGCCACCCGCGCCCGCCGTGCCGCCGGCGCCCGCCGCGCCCGCGCCGGAGCCGGCCGGCGACCGAGCAGCGCCGGCGCCGCCCGCCCCCGCGGCGGAGCCCGCCGAGCCTCGCGCGTCGCTCGGCTCCGCGGAGCACGGCACGGGCAACTGCAGGCCGTGCGCTTGGTTCTACAAGCCGAAGGCCGGCGGCGCGCGGAAGGGGGGGGGGGCGCGAGAGGGGGCGGGCCTCGCGCCGTGAAGCACGGCGGGCGGTTCGCTGCCGGTTTCGGGCTCGGGGGGCCCTCGCCGGGCCCAGGGGCCGTCCAAAAGCGAATCGGGATGGCCAGTTGAGCCAGGGAGATGGGTCGATGCCTCCGGAGGTCCAGGTTGGGAACAAGACACGACGCCAGGGGCGTGGGCTCAAAGAAGACACAGGGGGCCTTCGAGGGGGATCGGAGCCGTCTGAAGAGGCCCCTGAGCCCTTCAAGGAAGCCCCCCCTGGCCTGCTGAGAAGGCCCCCCCTCTCGCCGCGCCTCCTTCTGCACGCCGTCAAAAGAAGGGCTGCGAGATGGCCGCCAACTGCGACTTCTGCCACCTCTGCCCCGACGGGGAGCTGAGGTGGCTCGGGGTGCGTGCTTCCTGGCGTCAGAGGAGGGCGAATTGAGACAACCATGCTTGGCCTTCGGGAGAGGTCCCTCATCACCACGGCTGCACGCAGCTCGCAAAGCTGGTGCATTCGGACCCCGTGAGGGGGGTCCAGGGACAGATTTTGTGCTGCAGGTGTCTCAGCTCACCTTGCTCCGACTACGGTCAGCCACGCGAAAAGGAGGGTATAGGGGGAGGGGGGAAGGCTTCTTGGAAGCACCCCCTGTTTCTCAGGAGGCGCGGGCCGTGCCTGCAGATGTGGGGCCAGTGCCTTCTGAGAAGCAGCCTCCTTCTAAGAAGCCTTCCCCCCTCCCCCTGTAACCCCCTTGTACGCGCCGCCAGCACGGGGTAATCTGCGGAGGTCCCCCCACGCGGTCTCTCATGGGTCCCCACACGGGGTTCGCGTGGGGCCCCCCGCGGGACTGGTGTGGGGTCCGCCCGTGGGGCCCCCCGCGGGGTCCCCATGTGGGGTCCCCGACAATTTCGTGGTCCCTTTCGGGGGGGCCCCGTGCGAGGCCCCCTGCGCGCCTCCAGCCCCCTTGTCCTCCTGCTCTCCTCCTCCTCCTCCTCCTCCTCCTCCTCCTCCTCCTCCTCCTCCTCCTCCTCCTCCTCCTCCTCCTCCTCCTCCTCCTCCTCCTCCTCGGTTCCCTGCAGGGAAGGGACCCCGTAAGGGCCCAAGCTGGGGGACATCGGCAGGGCGGGGCCCCCTGCCAGGGCCAGGCTTCCACTTGGGCCGCGCAGGTCGCGGCCCCTGCCCTGGGCGTAGATCTAGACCTGGGAACTCGGCTGTCCGGGGCGCGAGGACCGGGAGCGACGCGGCTCCGGGTCTGGATCTCGACTTAGGGCTGTTGTTTGGCACAGGGACGACATTCGATCGAAGGCTCAGCCCAGGACACAGGTCTCCGCTTGGCACTGGGGGCGGAATCGGGACCAGCCCTTGGTCTTGAGGCAGACCTCAGGTCTCGGCCTGCTCGGGTCTCAGTCCGAGGTCCCCGGTGAAGATGCAAACGTGGGGACAAGTCCCAGGGTGCTAACGCTGCTTGTCACACCCCGACGGCAGATCTGGGTCTACACCCGGGGCCGCGTCCGCGTCCCCTTCCCGTTCCCCTCGTGCCGCGGTCACTCCCTGGCCCCAGGTGTAGAGTTTGCCCCTTCGCTGCTGGTTAGATCCGCCACCGTGCCGCTGGGCACGGAGTGGGCTCCTCAGGTCTTTGGCCGAATCCCTGGAGCAGCAGTCCTCACTCTTGAGGAATCTTTGAGGGGCCCCCAGACCCCACATTCCAAAACCTCCTGGGGGCTTCCCGCATGCCCCCTGGTGCTTCCTGCGTGCCCCCTGGGCTCTGGCGCATCTCCCCGCGTGCCTTTGTCGGGCCCCGTAGGGCCCGAAGATGGGCCAGGAGGGCCCGGCGAGGTCTCTTGGACAGTCCGAGGGGGGCCCCAAGGCGCCCAGGGGTCGGCCCAAGACCTTAAGATGGCTTCAAGCTTGCCCAGAACGCGTCCAAGACGCCCCAGAGGCCTCCCAAGAGGGGCTCAAGAGGCAAACATTATCTGATTTTCCTTTGGGTTTTGGGAGGATTGGGGCGTTCTCGCCTTGTCCGCTTTCCGACGCTCCAAGACGGCCACAGAGGCCCCCAAGACCACCCCAAAACGGCCCAAGAGGCTTCCAAGAGGGCTACAAGACGGCTTAAGAGCGCCACAAGACGGCCCCAAGAGGCCCCCAGGAGGCCCCAAGAGGCCCCCAAGAGGCCCCCAAGAGTGCCCAAGAGGCCCCCAGACGGCGCCCAAGAGGCGTTCAAATTGCCTCCAAGAGGCCCTCGAGAGGCTTCCCACAAGATCCCAACGAACACTCCCTAGACTTCATACCCATAACCTAGGCACGGTGGCGGGATGGGCCGAAGGCCATTACCCATCGGTCGTTGAAAGTAGGTAGTTTTGGATTTCCCTGCCAATCTACTTTAAGAACCTTCTTACTTCAATGATCGAGTGGCTTCACCTTTTCCGTCCTCCCAAGGGGGCGGGCGGACACCCAATCTATTTTCCACGCACTCCTACTTCATGTTTCTACCTACTTCTTCCGACCGATGGGTAGGTACGCCCCAGCCCCAGGTCCTCACCTACACCCAGGGGGCCCGACCGTGATCGCCCCCTGTCCCCCCCGCCCCTTGCCCGTGATCCGGTCACTCGGTCACTCCCTGGCCTCAACGTGTAGATCTGGGGGCCCTTCCCTCTCTGTTCTCCCACGGGTTGCTGGCCCTCGCGCTCCCGGGCCGGCCGATGCCCTGGGTCCAGGCACAGGCACGGGGCTGGGTCCGAGGCCCCTTTCCCCGATGTGGGCTACCCGCTGCTCCTCGCGCCCCGTCCCCCAGTCTCCACAGACGCCCCGGACTGGGTCTGCGACCCACCTGGCCCCGGGCTCCAGGCAGCGCCCAAGCCCCAGGCGCAGTATTGGGCCGTCCCCCCCTCCCACTCGCCTGTCGCCAGGGATCCTGGTCCTGGCGCTCCCAGGCCGGTCTCCCTAGGCCTGGGGCCATGTTGGCGATTCAGGGGCAACGTTGCGGGGGGGATAGGCTCAAGGGAGGGGCATCGACCCTTGATCGAAGAAGAAGAAGAAGAATCAACACATCAACATAAACTTTGGATCCGCGCTGGGCCCCCCTGGCGGCGCCTCCAGCGCCGCCCCTGGCGCGGTCCGCGCAGCGCAGATCCAAGAAATCCCCGCGGAGCGCCAAAAGTTTATGTTTGCAGCGCTGTTTCTTATTATTATTCGTCTTATTATTATTCTTCCCACACTTATTTTTATTATTGTTCTGATTATTAGTATTATTTTCTTCTTAGTATTATTATTAGTCTTATTATTATTGGCATTATTACTAGTATTCTTATTTTTTTAGTATTATTATTCTTATTATTCTCTTTCTTCTATTCGATCGCCCAGTGATCGCCGATAGGGGCCTGACAGCTCGCCCCGCCCGGGGCCGTGCGGTCTCGCGGTCGGAGGCGCATCGCCGGCCTGCGGGCGACGCACCGCCGAGTCCCGGGTCGGCGTTCCCCCCCCCCCCCCCGAGAGCCGGTCCCTCCCCGACGAGCCCCCCCAGCGGCCCCCCTCCTCCTCCCCCTCCTCCGCCTCCTCCTCCTCCTTCTCCTCCTCCTCCTTCTCCCCATCCTCCTCCTCCTCCTCCCTTCTCCTCCTCCCCCTCCTCCTCCCCCTCCTCCTCCTCCTCCTCCTCCTCCTCCTCCTCCTCCTCCTCCTCCTCCCTCCACCGGTGCCAGGAACAGAAAGAAGGCCAAGGTCGCCGCGATCCGCCAGCGCGCCAGCAGGTGACTCGGCGCAGGCGCGGCCGCGAAGGAGTCCCCGCGGGGGTCTGTCGGGCCCGGGCCGTGGCCGAACGGTGAGCTCGTCCTGGCCGCCGAGGGCCTGAGTTTCCTGGCACGCTGCCCGCCAGAAGTGCGGTGCGCGTCGATCAGCCAGCTCGGTGTTGCCCCGGTTAGGCCAAGAGCAGAGCATCGGAAAAATTTATCAGCATGCTTGCTCGAGGTCAGCGCGAAATTATTGCGAAGGCCTTACGGCCGGTGCCGCCGACCCTGAGAACGACGAAGATGAAAACGAGGGGGGGGGCAGGGGGAGGAGGATGAGTGGAAGGTGGAGGAAGGGTGGAGGAGGTGGATGATGGAGGAGGAGGAGGAGGAGGAGGAGGAGGAGGAGGAGGAGGAGGAGGAGGAGGAGGAGGGGGGAGAAGGATGTGGAGGAGAAGCAAGAGGAGGAGAAGGAGGCAGAGGAGAGCAGGAGGAGGGGGAGCAGAGGGGGAGGGGGAGGAGGAGGAGGAGGAGGAGGAGGAGGAGGAGGAGGAGGAGGAGGAGGAGGAGGAAGAGGAGGAGGCCATAGGCTTTCTTGGGACAGCCTGGGGCTCTCTTGAGGCCGTCTTGGGCCGTCCAGGGCTCCAGTTGCGCCGTCTCGAGGCACTCTTGGAGGCCTCCTGGGCAATTTGGGGCTCTCCTGGGCTGTCTTGAGGCAGTTTGGGAGCCCCTTGGGAGCCTCTTGGGGCCTCTTGGGGCTTCTTTGGGGCCTCTTGGGGGCCTCTTGGGGCTGAGAGCTCGAAATGTCCGTCGGGTCCCCCGTCTGGGCACTCTCCTGGAGCCGTCTTGGGGGCCTCTTGGGCCGTCTTGAAGGCGTCTTGGGCCGTCTCGGGGCGATCTTGGGGGCCTCTTGGGCCGTCTGGGCGCGTCGGGAAGCGGAAGAGGCAAGAACGCCAAAATCTGTCAAAAACGCATGGGAAATCCATGATTTTTGCCTCTTGGGGCTCTCGTGGGAAAGCTCCTGGAGACCTCTTGGGGCGCTTTGCAGGCCTCTTGGGCCGTCTGGAGGCCGTCAAGGCGTCTTGGACAGATCGTTCAGCGATTCGGGGTTCTCTTGGATTGTCTTTGAGGCCTCTTGGGGCACTCTTGGCCCGTCTTAGGGCTTTTTGGGGCTCCGGGGCTCCCAGAGGGGGCGTCGCATCTGACCCCCCCCCTGGGACCTCCCCCGGGACCCCCCCCGGGACCCCCCCCCCAGGACCTCCCCTCTGGGACCCCCCCTCCCCGCGGGGGAGGGATCGAAGGGAAGGGGCTTCCCTCGCTTTGGCTGGCGCGCTGAGGAGGTCCCTGGGAAAGGGGGGAGCTTCGACGAGCCCAGGGAAAGGGGGGAGGCAGGGCAGGGAAAGGGGACGACGGAGACGTCGACCAACGAATGACGGAGATGACGACTTGAACGGACAAGCCCCTCCGCCAGCACGCCAGCAGGTGACTCGGCGCAGGCGCGGCCGCAAAAGAGTCCCCACGGAGTTTGTCAGGCCTGGGCCGTGGCCAGGGTGAACTCGTCCTGGCCGCCGAGAGCATGATTTTTCTAGCACGCTGCCCGCCAGAAGTGCGGTGCGCGTCGATCAGACAGCTCGGTGCTGCTCCGGTTGTACCAAGAGCAGAGCATCGAAAAAATGTATCAACATGTTTGCTTGAGGCCAGCGCGAAATTATTTGGTCTGCGCTGGAGCCCCCAAGGAGGGAGATCAGGGAGGAGGAGAAGGAGGAGAAGCAGTGTAAACCCAAGATGCATCCACTGTGTTACGATAAGCCCTGCCCCCAGGTTCACTCTTAATATGTCCCTAGAAGAATTCATTGACACTGCGGGAGGTGGCCCATTAGAAGACATCCGTCTGAGAATCCTCGATCGTGCCAAAACATCATTCCTTGGATTCCAACTCCGCGGATCCACCTGACTGTCGCGTCCTGACAATCCTGAATCGCGCCAGAACACCATTCCTGGGACTCCGACACCGCGAATCAATGTGACTGTCACGTCCTGGTAGCCTTTAATCTTGGCAGGACACCAGTCCTGGAACTTATGCGAATCCTTAGAAGGGCTGCAACATGTTGAGGCGAATGTGCGCGGCGCGAGAGCGAGAGCCACATTGTAATAACCATTCGCCCTCCATGCGAGAAGCTGTTGCGAACTTTGAAGACGAGTGCGCAAGGCGATAGCCACATTTTGAAAATAACCCGCCCTGCATCCATGAATATGTTGCGATCTGACTCATTTGCGCGGCGCTAGGCGGGAGCCACATTTTGAAAGCCACCTGCCCTCCATCCGTGAACATGTTGTGAGTTCTGAAGACGAAGGCGCACGGCCCTGAGGCGAGAGCCACAATCTGCAAACCAACCGCCCTGCATCCGGCAAACGGTTGCAGCTTTCAAACTTCGGGAATAAAAATATGTGAGGAATTCCCTGGCGAAACGCCCGACCCGCCCTACCAACAGGGAGAAGTTATCGATCAGGAGTCCCCACAAGTCCTTGGAAGCTTGCTGTATGGACGCCCAGAAGGACCAGAAATGCGCAAAAGCCTATACCTTTCCGCCCCCGCTCCCCTTCGGGGAGTGTGAGCATGAGAAAGGAGGAGGAGGAGGAGGAGGAAGAGCTGGAGGAGGCGGACGAGGAGGAGGGGGTGGAGAGGGTAGAGGAGGAGAGGCAGAGGGGCCCTCAGAAGTCAAATCCCTGGAGACTTCCAGAGGACCAGAGAGTCCAAAAATCCTCGAGGGTCGAGGAGCCTCAACCCCAGACTTGTCTTCTTCGCAGGGTGGGGCGCCCAGACCTCTCGACCTATGTATTCACCGGCGTCGGTTGTGTTCATCCTGGGTCGTTTGTTGGCCGGCACCGGGGACACCGAACCAGAGAGTTCCAAAGACAGTCGGAGGGGAGGCGTTGTACCGTGTGGTTCCTCGGGCCAAAAAGTAAAAAGGGAGGCGCCGTCCTGCATGCCGCCGCGCCCTGTGGAATTGGGCCATCCATCTTCGCATGCAGCATCCATCGCACGCATCAGACTCATCCCGATCGGTTCCCGGAGGCCCATCGAACCCATTCCGGCAGGCTGACGCAGCGATGTCCCCCGACGCGTTCCGACAGCGCCCCGTCCGCTCAAGTGTTGAGCCCAGCTTGGCATCTCTCGGACGTGTGCACTCTCTCGGCGGGGACCCTCGAGGAACATCGAAAGAGCGCGCGCACGCCACCGACAAGAGCACGGGGAAGGGCCGCCCGAGCGATGGCGAGCCCATCCCGCCTCTCCCTCGCGTGCGCCCCCCCCCCCCCAGGGCACCTCCCCGGTGTCTCTTCCCCCGCCCCACACCGCCTCACGACCAGCAGCTGGAGCAAGCATGGCTTGATCGGGGGTAGTGGCGTACAGTCGGGGCCCTGAAGAAGGAACCCTTTTCGTTGGGGAGGGGCTCGGTGTTCCTTGATTGTTCTGCAGTTTGCCCTCTGCTTTCCTAAGGTTGTCCATGGGAAGTCGAAGCTCAACTCGGAGAAAGAGGCCCCGTTCCTTAGTTAGGGTTCCTTAGGTCAATGCCCCGACTGTACTGTGCTCCCTCCACCGCCTCTCGCCCCCCAGAGCTCGCCGCGCGCGTCGTCGAAGACCCTGGGAGGGGAACCACCCGCCCACCGACAGGGGCGGTCCTCCGAGCCCCAGGAGGAGTCCTGAGGCCCTCCCTCGACCGACACCCGCATCAGCACCAAGCATCAGCAAAGAAGAGCAAGGAGTGCAGACCAGGAGGGGGGGACAGCATCCCCTATAAGCCTATAAGGAGGCAGCACCAGTTATCCTGGCGAAAGACCCACCCATATGCATCTGTGAGCACCGCGTTGTGGGTGCCGCTCTCGGTGGAGCTCCCCATGGGGCCACGAATCGTGAGAGGGGTGTGCCAAAATGGGCGGGGGGATGCATGCGGACCCTACCACTGGGGCCTTCGGTGGAGCTCCCTCTGGGGCCACGAACCGTGTGAGTGGTGTGCCAGAATGGGCGGGGGGACGCATGCGGACCCTACCGAGCCTTCGGTGGAGCTTTCTATGTGGCCACGATCCGTGTGAGGGGTGCGCCAAAATAGGTCGGGGGACGCATGCGGACACTGCCATTGGCGCCTTCGGTGGAGCTTTCTATGTGGCCACGATCCGTGTGAGGGGTGTGCCAAAATGGGCGGGGGGACGCATGCGGACCCTGCCACTGTGGCCTTCGGTGGAGCTCCCTCTGGGGCCACGAACCGTGTGAGTGGTGTGCCAAAATGGGCGGGGGGACGCATGCGGACCCAGTCACTGGGACCTTCGGTGGGGCTCCCCATGGGGCCACGAACCGTGAGAGAGGTGTGCCAAAACGGGCGGGGGGGCGCATGCGGACCTTGCCATTGGGGCCTTCGGTGGAGCTCCCTATGGGGCCACGAGCCGTGTAAGAGGTGTGACATCTGGAGAGCGGAGACATGATGTTGACGATAGCGATGATGATGATGATGATGATGATGATGATGATGATGATGATGATGATGATGATGCTGATGCTGATGCTGATGCTGATGCTGATGCTGATGCTGATGCTGATGCTGATGCTGATGCTGATGATGATGATGATGATGATGATGATGATGATATGGTTATGGTTATGGTTATGGTTATGGTTATGGTTATGGTTATGGTTATGGTTATGGTTATGGTTATGGTTATGGTTATGGTGGTGATGATGATGATGATGATGATGATGATGATGATGATGATGATGATGATGTGGATTATGACGATGGCGATGATGATGACGATGCTAATGGTGACAACGGCACGCGTGAGAGCAGAGGCAGGAATGGGGGGAGGGAGGAGGGGGAGGAGGAGTGAGCGAGGAGTGAGTGGACGTGGGGCGTTGTCACTCCAAAACGAGAACCCAGCACCACAGAATGGTTGGGAAAAAAGCTGGGAGGAATATTGGCACAGCATCCACGACATTGATGAAACCGGCGCCCACACGGCCGCCACTTTGCAAGCGAAGTCATGCGCGCACGCGCATTCAGGTCGAATTTAGCTGTTGTATCAATTTCGCGATGATTGGCCGATCTGTGAATTTGGGCCTGTCTTTGTCGAGCCTCACTCCTCTCGTGAGTTGGAGTCTGGCGGGAGGCGTCCTGGCGGCCTCGTGGGGCCTCGCAAGTAGTCTTCAGAGTGCCGAAGGCCTTCTCGGGGAGTCTTGGATCCTCGTGCCACTCGGTTGGGCTATCGTGCCCCTCCGAGGGTCTCATCGTGTTCGTCTGCAGCTTGCGTTGGATCTCTCGGCTGCGTTCCCCTCTTTGCGGGGTTCTGCGCCCCCGCCACGTCCAGCGGACGAGTCTGAGAGCGGCGCCGCGCGAACCCCCCTTGGAAGGCAACGGGATGCTGCATTACTTAGTGCTCTGTGTCCCGTTTCTGGGGCAATAGGGGCTCTAGAAATCAGGTGTTCAAGTTTGTTTGTGTAGTAACATAATTTCGATCGAAAATTTAGAAATCGGTCGTCGTTCGAATTAAAGGAATGATAGTCGTACCTATATATATATATACACGCACACTTCGTAGCCTGGTGATGCATGTCTCAGAGTACTCTTTGAAATCCAGAAACGGCTGACCTAGAAACGGCTTACCCAGAAACGGCTTGCCTAAATCTTTGGAAACGGCTCACAGCTACTAGGGAACGTCGAGAGCCGAACGGCCAATCCACGCCAGTGGGGCAGGCAGCGACCCCGAGGCAAACGGCATCCCCGGTCCGCAGCGGAACACGCGTGCATGCGTTCGTCTGGAGGCCACGCGCAGAGAATGCCAGGGGACGCCACTTGCGGGACTGCTGGTTCTGACGCGTTGCTTACTGCGCGGAGTTGTTTGATGCAGGTCGTTGCCATTTGCCATTGCCGGGTGATGTTGATTGACGTGTTTTGTTGTTGTTGTTGGTTGTTGTTGTTTGCTTGTTGCTGCTCGCCGATGCTCGCTCCGCTATCGCCGGCGAAGGGTATCAGGACTCTTGATGGAGACGTTTTGGAATCTCCAGGGCTGTCGCTTGACGTCTGAGCGGCCTCTCGGGGTCCCTTGAGTTGTCATCTGGGGTTCGTGGGCCTCTCGGGGCGTATTGGACCGCTTGAGCGTACTCTTCAGCTCCGAGGGCCCTCTCGGAGAGTCTTGGTGCATTCTGTCAGCACCAATGCGTCTACAATTTGTGTTGGGCCTGTCGTGTTGGTTCTCGGCCAAAGCACGACGGAGGCGACCTAGGCGATCGCATCCTGATGCTGCGGCGACCTCAATGGCCAGAATCTCAGTCGCATTGGTGCCGCAAGAGTGCACCAGTGCCTCTTGATACGTATGGCAAGCCTGACGCTGTCTCAAGATTTTTCCCATGAGCGTGGCCGACATCTGGACGTAGCCAGGTGGCCTGAGGCACGAGGGAACAGCAGCCACCAGCTGCGCATGGTTGGGAGAAGTGAGGATAGGAGGAGGGAGAGGAAAGGAAGACGGAGAGGAACGGGGAGGAAAGCGAGGACGGGGATGGAGAGGACATGTTTCGCAGGCGCACCGTTTCCACCGCCGTCCATCACAGGGTGGTGGAAGTTGCTGGAACAGCAGTGCGAGGTAGAATGACGACAGCACAGCATCGCTTCCATCTATCGCGGCTCACCAGATCCCTAGGCCCAGCTCAAGTGGAAGAGGAAGAACAGGCAGGCATCTTGGAATTTCACTGAGGA